ACCTTGACTCTCCATGGATCATTGATTCTGGAGTGTCAAAACACATGACTGGTATGTCCTCTTACTTTCAAACTTATCACCCTCTTTCTGGAAGAGATAAAGTGAGACTAGTTGATGGATCATACACTTCCATAGCTGGTCAAGGAACTCCCTCTCTTCCCCTTGGCCTTACTCTTTCTGATGTTCTTCATGTTCCAAAATTCCCTATGAATTTGTTCTACAAATTCTCTTCCTATTGTGTGATTCAGGATCTAGCCTCGGGGAGGACGATTGGTAGGGGACGTATGGTTGATGGACTCTACATGCTGGAGAATACGGCTGGCCTTCATGTTACAGAGTCTACGAGTCAATTCAGAAAGAGTAAAATATATTTGTGGCATTGTCGTCTGGGTCATTTGTCCTTTTGAGTCCTTAAAAGTTGTTTTCCCAGAACTGTGTAAGTCAGTGTCTGTTTCTAATTTTTCTTGTCAAAYGTGTCAGTTAAGCAAGCATTGTAGAACTCAATTTCCTCAAAGAAATAGTAAATCTGAGTTTCCTTTTCACATTGTGCATTCTGATGTGTGGGGCCCTGTTACTTTACCTTCTGAGAGTGGCTACAAGTACTTCATTACCTTCATTGATGATTATTCCAGATACACTTGGGTATATCCAATGTGAACCTGTGAGGAAGTACCAAAAATTATCCAAGATTTTCAGCGGATGGTCTTCACCCAATTTCAGACCAAGATTCAAATATTTCAGTCAGACAATGCAAAAGAGTTTTTTCATAGCGACCTCACCGAGTTCTTTGCTTCACATGGCTCACTTCATCGGAGCTCTTGTGCCCGTACACCACAACAAAATGGTGTGGCTGAACGGAAGAACCAACACCTCCTTGAAGTGGCACGGGGTCTACTACTCCACATGAATGTTCCTAAACGATTTTGGCTTGAGGATGTCCTTTGTTCTACATATCTCATTAACCGAATGCCCTCTCGTTGGTTAGAGTACAAAGCCCCACATCAGCTTCTCTTTCCTAAGGCCCCTCTTCTTTCTATCCCTCCT